TGCCATGTTTTTGAAGTCTTTCGAATACGAGGTCCAGATGTTTAAGGTGAGTCTTCTTACCTGGACTCGCAATTAGACAGTCGTCGATATAGACATGGACAAAATTTACACCACGGAAGACGTCATCCATAAAGCGTTGGAATGTCTGCGCTGCATTTCGAAGACCAAATGGCATGCAAAGGAAGTCAAACAAACCAAAGGGTGTAATAATGGCTGTTTTCACGATATCTTCTGGCTGTACGCTTTGACTAAATTGATTTTGGAGAAAATGTTCATTCCGCATAACGTTGTAGTCAGGTCGCAAACGTGAGGTATCGGGTAGTACGTGTACAAATTTACAGTGCATAGTTGAGTAGCACATCTTGTTTGGCCAGTTCTAATAACATCGGATCATCAAGGAATTTGCTCATACTGACATCTTCACTCAAACCCTTTCGTCTAAGAGTCTTGATCATAAACTCTCGTGCCAAATGAGTGGCAGGTTGTGGAACCAAAAATTGTATCTGAATTGAACGATCAAGAGGATCTCCTGGAACCATCTGTCAGTGATTAAAGATAAGCATACAAAAGGCCTGGGTTCTGGGATCTGTTTCAAAGCCAAATGAAGCGAATACAGGTGAAAATGCACGAATAACATATAATGGAGATCCAGATATGGGCGCATCATGTGTTACGTGGCCACGACGACGAGCAGGTACGGTATACACTGCTGAAACAGGATCTTCTGGTGCCTGAACCTCAACCAAATGATAAGGTTCCATCAAACGAGGTGTTGCCACAAGAAAAGCGCAGTAAGCCACTCGACTGGCAGTCGGGATTATTCGTCCGGAACCTCGCTGATGCACCTCTCATTCCGAATCGGTTCATCGCAAAGTGGACCTTCCTGTGTACACAATTGAAAACCCTGAACGATGTAATCTTTAACGGTTAGCTGTAGGTTCTTGTCAATTTCAGATGTCAGAGTATCATCCATCAGCACGTTTGGACCAGCCGCATCTGGTCCGAGGGCCCACATAGATCTGAAGGCAAGCAAATGCCGGTCTTATTTCTTTTGGAAATAGTCATCAAGGCGTTTTTTCGGCCAGGAAATTTGGACAATTATATTTTCAATGTCATCGGCTAAACCTTTGTCCAGTGGTTCTGCAGTCATGGTAAACTTATTTTTTTATTCGGTGTTCCTGCAAAGCACTTCGAGGAAGACCATTCTACAACTGTTTCACAGAAATCTACCACAGGATCAACAACTATCACGTCGAAATCCGAAGAAAGCTTGTGCAAGTCATGCATAACGCAATCTAAATACAATTCTCCGGTACTCCAAATCACGCGTTCACCAGATTCTTCAACTTCGGTTGTCAGGAGGGGACAACTTTTATTTACTTTTCGAAGGCAATCCAACAGTTTTGGGAGTTCAAGAGGATTTTCCGGTTCAGCTGCCACTTTAACGACTGAAGAAGTGTCGAAATTAAGAGATCTAAATATACGTACCTCACGAGCATCTATTGATGTCAAGGTAGCGGTTTTCGCAACAGGGTGATCCATACTTTCAGTCAGAACCCAACACCAGCCGGGACGCAATTAACCTCTAGTTGGTAAAGGGCCATGGATATCCACAGACGACCAGTTGTAGCTGTTCCGGAATCTTCTTCATCAGAAAGTGTGTAATTTTCTCCCAAGACGCGAACTCTTTGGTCAGCAAATAAAGTACTGACTGCAGTGTCACTAACACGGTTTGCATCAGTTGCGCTAGTCTCTAGAGAAACAGCTCTCGGAAAATGTCGTTATTCAACGTTAGTGTGCCCATAACTCCTCGCATGCGTGTGAGGATTTCAGTAGGTGAGTGGCTGCCTAGCTCGATGTTACGAAGCAGTTCGTCTAGGCGCTGGCGATCTGAGATCGCTTTTCTTCAAGAGTGCGGCCTTGAGAAGTGCATAAAGATCACTTACTTCGGGACTGAACATGTGCGCTGTAACATTTCTGTTTAATTCCGGCTGTAGTGAACGCATGACAGCAAGAAATCGAGAATGAGGATCTCAAACTCCCCGTTCTCGAAGATTTGCTTCGGCATACAGAAACCATGTTTCTTCGTTGTCTAGCCAATATGGCACGAGTTGGATATTGTTTATGGTCGGCTTAATACAAATAAGCTTGGGAGTGTGGTCGTACATGAGAAAGAGTTGTATGTGAATATATAATAGTTATCAGAATGGATGCAATACACAAATATAAGATGGGACAGGCTCACCAATTCAATACTTGTTACTGGTCGAGATATGTAATCACGTCGGGCTCACCAATTTAGGAACTGACCTGGTGCGGACTTGACAGACGCAAAGACCAATCACTAACCATTCGTAATTGTTTTATACCCCCGAATACAAGATTAAGGAAGAACATAATAGCGTAGTCGGGTGGAATGGTATATCTGGGTGGTTGTGCAAAGATACCGATGCGTCCCAACAAACGGGCTTGAGAGTAGAATACGAGCAGTGCAACGTAACACGACAGCGTGCCAAATGGCGAGGATGCTTGACCGGGTGCCTTAAGCCTAGCGAGTTCATTTAAACCATGAAGGTCAGCATCAATATCGAGTGTCATCGAACCCTAGGCTATTGATTTTAGGGAAGTGTGTGACGCTACAGATCACCTACCGTTAGAATTTTTTGAACGGAGATGACAGAAAAAATATGATGTGCGCCAACTTGATGTACCTAGAAAACCCAGTAAATGTTGATGCTGAAGTCACAATATGCAGTTATCTGGCTTGCGATCGTAGTATTCAGCAACTAGATCAATTTCCGATGTAATCCGGCAGGGCAGCGAATGAAATACATAACTCTGCATTCAGGAAAGGACGAAAAGTAATGAGAAATATGCAGGTTGAAGAGTCGTCCCTGCGCGAGCTTGACAGACACAGAGGCCAGACACCAATTATTCCTACTTGTAACATACCCACAAATAAGAGATCAAGGAGGAACACAATGGTGTAGTCGGATGGAATAGTATATTCGATAGGTTGTACCGACATACCCATGTGTTCCGATCGGCTGGTTAGAGGTTTGGTTACCAGCACTGCAACGTAACACGACAGAGCGCAATTAGTGCCGATATTCGACCATGTGCCCTTAGCAGCTTAGCAAATCCGATAAAACTATGAGTGCTAGTACCAGTGTTGAGTCTCGTCGAAGCCTAGGCTATTGATTCTGAAGAAGTATGTGGCGTCACCCAGGTCCTCTAGAGTTATAGTGGAGAAAGTCACTACCATGTGATCATCTCAAGCTAGATGCGGCCAGACATACAAGTGATTAGGAGACACATTTTAGCCCTGAAGCCCAGTCGTCTGTCCCATGTGGAGTAGTATCTCTCGCTTCTTCTAATAACCCTCACAGTTATAAAGCTTATCTAGTCTGTGGTTAAACGATAATTTGACATATCCTTTCTTTGCCCTATATCAAAGCGGAGTTTCAAAGTCGTCCATGATTACTACATTGTTGAAGATCGCGGTTGTGATGGCTACCAGAGTTTCAATCAACTTGACGTAACCGTCGGAAGTAATTGTTGAGGGTATGTAGAAAACAAAAGACGCTGGCACCTCGTGAGTTCCAAAGCAAAAGAGAGCCACGGGGTTTTTAGAAGTCATAATAATTAGAAACATCATGATGTTGCAAAAGTAACTATTGTCATTAGGAGTACAGCTGGATGAAAAAAGCTGCTTTCAATGAGAGACTGGCTGTTCAGTTATTGGAACAGAACAACCTCGCCCATATGGAGGAAGTCTGTGTCATCTATAACCTACTTTAGGAACTGCCTTAAAAACTGTGACTGACTTTCATACATACGTACATTTGAAATCTCCGAGCGCAATGGGAAGTGGAAGCAACCCAAATGTACACCGACAAGAAGTCTACCCAGTGACCATGTACTGTGGTGGGCAGCTAACTCTAGAGAGATAGAGAGGGAAGAGATGAAAGGTAAAGATGGATGGCCATAAAGACTTATCAGAGAGTGTGAATCAATAGACAAATGGCTTTTGATGCTGTGGTGGCGAAGGATGGACTCGCGATTTATGTGCGGGAAACAAGACCTGAACGTTGAGAGAAACACTAAGGAATAGTTCATCCGGTCTCCATCTGATCTTTACCTGTGCCGTGTCTGATAATAGAGATTGAAGTGGTTGAGTGCTTTGACCACTACACTCACTACGGAAATGGGTTAACCCTCGTAGATAGGTGACCAGCGGAGTCTCTTCCCGAGTAAAAGACGCTTGATTAGTTTCCAGCAACTCACGCCATTTATGGAGCTGACATTGTATCCAGCGTCTATTAAGGGTCTTATGTTATCTGTTGCAACTCACTTCTTTCGTCTCTTGCTTGAAGGACCTCCTTACAGTCAGAGAAAGTTGGGTTAAGTTAAAAGATGATAGGATATATGCAGATGTCATTTTCATAGACTTTAGTAGGGTGTCCGACAAGGTACCACATTTCAGGTTGCTTGGGAAACTGGAAAGTTTTGGAATCGTTGGCAATCTGCTTACATGGATTAAAGAGTTTTTCTTTGGTAGGACACAAAAAAGTTCTTCGTTGGTAGGATACAAAGAGTAAGGATCCATCCTCACATCTCCTCTTGGAAGCCGGTAGGCAGTGGAGTGCAGCAAAGCACAGTGCTGGGCTCCCTGCTATTTCTCCTATATGTAAGCGAGCTCCCAAATATCACGAAATCCCCCATGTTTCTCTACGCTAATGGTGTAAAACTGGCCGGAAATTAGGAATAACGAGGGTATACGTGAACTTCGGGCAGACTTGAACAGCTTGTTAACCTGGTCAGAGAAGCGGCTGATGCCTATCAACTCAGGTATATGTATGAGCATGCGCTTGGGGCACACATAGCGACACCTACGATATTGATGGGACTCATCTGCCGTCAGTACTGACTCACAATGATAACATCAGTGACCATGTAACCATACAGTTCAATGTATATAGAATTAGAAAACAGAAGTTACAATAATGCGAATATACTGAAAAATCAAATTGTACACCAAATGTTTACAGCAGCAAGGAACAATTACAACTAATTATCTATTATGTACACATTTCAACGCAAAACATTATCAAATGACGTTATATAAATCCTAGAAGATAGAATCTTTTTTCTCAGTAGTTAATATGAACCTTTATGTAGTTTTTATTTTTCCTTTTTCTGATTAGCTGTGAAGGTGGTAACCATACAACCAAACAGACTGAAAAGTGATCTAAGTTAAAGTTAATTTTAGCGAAAAAAAGAAGTCTTTCATTTACAAAATGATTGAATAGCTATTTTTCAGGTTAATTTCAATCATAAAGAAGGCTTTTTTTTACCATGAAATTAACAATCAAGGTTATTGAATCTAACCACATTAATAGATTAGAAGACCAGCAATACACACGACACTGGAATGAGAGTTTTTGTAAAGACAAATCAACACTGTCGATATTGAAATAGACAAAACAAGAATAAGTAGTTGACAAGCAACTCTATATTAAATCTGCTACACCAAACATGTCCGACTCTTTGGTATTGTTTGATAAACCAGGAGGGGAGTCTAATGGGCTAGGAAGTTTCCTATGATTATTACATGTATTTTGATTGACTTTTGTAGAGCACTCAATTGAAGTAGATAAATGTTCAGTAATCTGACTTCGTGCATCGTTAAATAGCCTTTCATCACCTTTACCTTCTGCTAAACATACTCTTGCTGGTTCCCAGAAGTCAACTTCATTTGGGTATAACAAACTAAATATTTCTAAAAAAGGGGATAAAAGTGTACAAATGCATCAGATGAGGTTGTTATCGGACTGGAAGAAAGGTAAAAAAATAACTTGCGTGCAGATACACTAGTTGGATTCACTGAAGAAAGAGATTCAAACACAAATAGATTAGAAAATTTACTTGACTAGTACTTGTCAAATCCACTTTTAGACTGCATTTGCAAAGCACTTATGTTGACCACTTCACTCAAAGTATATGAATTCAAAGCCTAAAAACTTGAGTTACGGATATTTATGCTGAAGGCACGTGTAGATTCCACAGCTCAAGATTTTCAGTCAGTAGGTTCTGGTGAACGCGAGAAGCTTATTCTTGCAGATGCACAAAAGTAAGAATTAAACTGATTATATATGGCTTCAGTTTTTAACATTTTCCTAAGAACCCGCAGTTTCCTTGCGTTCCTCATAGTTATCCTCAAGGTCTAACAGCCCACTGTAGATTAATGTAAACTAAAGCTGTAGTCTTATGAAATTCACGATTTCATGACAACAAAGAATCTTTGTAACCAAAAATGCAAACACTGATCTAGTGATTCAGACGGTTAAGAGTAGTGTCTCAAAAGCTTCATTTTTGAGAGAGAAGGTGAAATTGCGTTTAGAACTTTAATCTTCAACGACTTTATTTCATGTTAGTAGAGTGAAAGATGAAGCAACTTTGACTCTGAAAAATGAACCTCTGATTTGTCTTATTGGTTATCTCGTTATTACTGTAGGTGATTACCGATCTTTTGAAAACACATTCCATACCTTCACGGTAAAATAAATACTCATACTTCTGTGACCGCTATCAGTAGTCGAAATAATTTTCCAAATTCTATATCAAACACATATATGTTTCGCAAACTGTAGACACAAAGCAATTATTATTTTGTAGGATCCATTCCAGAATAATGAGTAATCATAGATGAAGTTTCGACGTTAAAAGATTCGCGAAACATTTCCGACCTCCATTTTTTACTAAGTAGTACAACTGAAATAAAATAAAAATATGTAAACTGCAAGCGGTTTGTATAAACATATTCAGGTAACAAACTTCTTTAATCATCAAAACTACGTTTTGAACAACTACTCAACTTACCTTGTGCATTTACTTCAAGGATACGCAGATTCTGAAGACATGTTGCCACAACTGGATGCATTCCAGTTGGTCTACCTGCAACAACAGCACCTACAGCTTCGTCTCCAAATACGTCATCACCTGGTGAGCATGTGCCATGTTCCGCATAATCACGTCTGTTTAAAAAATAGTAGTGACTGAGATGTAAGTGAAAAATAAAAAGCTTTACATCCAAGTCTATAAATGTAAGGAAACACAGCTTTATTTAGGTGACACTTATGCATCCTACGTAAATCAGTTTCAACACGAAGCACAATGCAATCGTCAAACGTTTGCAGAGATTTGTGTGACAACTTGGACGGATATATGGTAATGCATACTAACGTGCTGATATTAAATACCTGAGATTAAAAGAAAAATCATTCTTCAAACTAAATTATTTGAGCTTTTTTGATGTGAAGTTGAGTGGAAAAGTGATAAATCTTTGGCGAAAGAGACTGTAAAATTAGCAAATACTCCTCCAAGTCCGGCTTTAGGACCGTTTGATCATGAACAGATTGACACAGACTACCAGTCTGTTCGAAAACCGTGTTACGTAACCATATGAATATAAACAAAGTCAGAAAGACACTTAGCGAGAATATATTTGCCTGACGATGACCATGCTCGGGTTAGAAAACACCAATATTATACAAAGAAGTTAATTGTATGGTTTGTCTTGAAACTCTAAGGGCTTACTTCTTTTTCAAGCTAAGCATAATGGTTTTATTTATCATGTCGACGAACTATGCATAACGAAACCATACAGCTCAAATAGTAAAAAGAGTCACTAGCCAGATAGCCATTGTGCGCTAGGAATCTCTTTCATCATTTCTTAATCTATACATGATTGGTATTCAAAAATGTGGCACATATGTGTCTAGTCATAATGATGTAAATATTTAACCCTTGAAAATCAATATTTGTGCTTAAATTGTTTTGCATTTGTCTGAGATATATTCACTCTAGCAACTGAGATAAAAGATAATTTGTTTTATGAGACAATATTATAATACTTAGGGTCAAAATTCAAAAGTTTTCATTTTCATAATCATAAATGTCATCAAGTTATCAGGTCAAAGACTTCGAATATATTCAGTTTCTTCTGTATAATAGGTAAAATTATCAGTCAATCGACTCTATGACATAAAGGTTACTGGTCCATTAGGATAAGGTAATTCATATCAATAAAATCATAAAATCACAAACTGAACACTGTATGCAGACAAGGCATCGATCCTATATAATATTACAGTGAATTAAAGTGAAACTATAATTGGGAAATAAAATAAGCTATTCATGGAATGCTCAAGGTATTAATTATACATACATTTTAACCTGATTGAGCATGAATTACTAGATGGTAGATATTAAACATCAAGCAGAAGTGGTTCATTTAATATACAGAACCAGCTTGGTGTTAACAAATTAACAAATGTTCAACAGAAATAACAATCAATTTCGAAGTCATCTGTCGTTGTCATGACTTCAAGACATTACGTATATATGGAGAAATGCTCAAAACGCTAAGTCTTGGCTATATTGTTTTGCTCAATAGCGCGATTGGAGTTTTAAATGTTATATTGAATATGAATGTGTCACTAATAAGTACTTGTAATTTCCGTTGTCATACTGGATCAGTTTCTCGACCTCTGCTGGCAGATGGGATCCGGTGTGAAAGCCTGGATGCTGCTCGAATATTCACTACGCTGTAGTCTATTTAGTGGCTAGCAGCGAAATCTAGGACACATGTTTCGTCCTGTTTGGGATTCGTGAGCTGGATATGCCTGCACCCCACTGAGTCACGTCGTTCCCATTGAAAACCGAACCTAGCACCTATCGCTTCAAACGTCAAGGCGTTATCCACTAGGGAACTGCTGCACAACAGCCAGCACTTGTCGAGTCTCAGTTGCAGCAATATCACTCGCTGGGTTCAAGGTACAATTCAGCTGACGAGTCCCAAACAAGATGAAAAGTACTTTCTCGCTTGCACTGCTAGTTGCCAATTAGGTGAGCACATTATTTTGATTAGGAACGTTGTAGTCTCCATCCACGAAGTGCTAATCAAAAAAACTAGCGGTAGTATTAAATTAAACCGATGTAAATGATAGTGATAACATTATAAAAATTAATATAAACTGGAACTATCATTTTAGTGAAAGACTAACAGCTGTCTGTATCTGAATAAATAAGTTTTATTTGAAGTCTTGAATAGCTCCAGCTGACTTCCACTGTTCAAAAGTGCCTACATGAAAGTAGACTACCACAAAATCCAGAAATAAATACAATATCAAATAAATCGGCAAAGAAAATTGCGATGGCACTGAGAAGAAGTATGTAACTCTACGCACTAACCCTTATCGTGATGATCTTTGTTGCGTAATTGGTTAAAAACTACTCCCCAGAACTGTTTCGGAACTGTTTCATGGTGCCTTATCTATACTCATTTCATTCATCAGACTCGACTCGATACATTTTCTACTTTTATCAGTTTCGTTTGCTAACATTTACACTTCAGCTTCTACGGTTCAGTGACAATCAATCACTCATCTTTTAGATATTGGGAAATAGCCTATCAATCGTTACTTATAGTGAATAGCTACAGAAACATTTGTATATTAATTGCTTGGTTTGAAATCACCAGCAAGTGACTGTTGTGTGTAAAAACCGGTGTATTTTACTGAAATTCTCAGAAGACAATAAATGATAAATGAAATTTTCCCTATTATGCAACTAAACGCTTAAGTAGATGTAAGCATTGTCACAGGAAATAAACATGATAAAACTTATTCCACATATAACTAGCAGTGAAGTGAAGAGTAATTAGAGGTCATCAAGTGACCTCTTAGTTTAATTTCAGGTCAACCTTATTTTCCCTTATCATGTCACCATTACAGTTTACGAAAAAAGGAAAAATCAACAAAAAACGATATTGATTCAAACTTAGTAGCAGAATTTTATTGAAAGATATATTCTTTGAAGTGACTTCTTCCATAAAATTTAAGATAGCATGCCTTGTAAATCGCATAAACGGTTCATTAAGTTACACTTACTAAGTCTGTTAAATTGACATATGATAGTATGAATAATCATACAAAGTTTATACAAGTGTACAAATTATTTGCAACTTCCAATGTACTTCATGAATAAAAAAGACTTGAAACTTCTGACTCGATGGTTTAATTGAAAGAAGTGGTAGTGGTTGTAGAAGTACTTTCTGTTTTATAATTGGATTTATTTTCCAAAAGAAGTTATTGTACAAGAAAAACTACCCCAAAAATGATCGCTCTCTCTCTTTCTTAATTTGTTAATAAGTGCACTTAATAACTAAAAGGAGCAGTTGATTCAATCTGTAACAGATATTCTGGAGTTTGTAACAATTTGAAGTGAGCGCCCAGCCATTATTAAATCGTGAAGTCTGAGAATAATGCAACGGAAAAGTAACAGCAATACGGATAAGTAGTCAAGGTTATCATTCACAGGTTGACTGTTAGTTATTTATATTTTCTGACCGTACTAACCCAAATAGGTGGAATGGAACCTCAAAATATGGCTCACTGACTGCATGTTGAATACCTAGTGAGTTAGAGAGTAATAAGAAAAAGATGAACCAGTCTAACTGTTGAAAGATCTCTCCATTGAATCTTGTTTCTCTTTTAGCTTAGTTAGAAAGTACATTTCAGCATAAATGTATGCAAACAAAGTGTACACAGTTGACGACACGATTCAATAAGAGAAACTGAATTCTTGTTGATAAACCTTACACTTGTGCTTACAAAGCTTCAATATTATCATTATAATATATTTATGTTGCACTTCAAGTCCCAAAAGTTTGGGTTATTTTCATCTTAGACGATTTATAACTACCTTATGAAGACACCTACTGGTATCGAAGAATCTGAATCTTATGAGTGAGGATACCCAATTAATGACACTGATATTAGCTAGTGAACATCTTCGAGGCACATAAGCTTCGACAATTTTTGAAGACTTGATCTGACTAATGGCGGCTAGCAGAGGAATCCAGGACGCACCTTTCTGCCTAACTACGAGTCGTCATTCAGTTGTGCCAGCATTCAAGGTGGGCTCTGGCTTATCTAACTAAGTGCCTTCTTTCCAACTGATGGGCCATGGGTTACAACCCAGTTACACATCACAAGATTTAGGAAGCCAGGAAGTACCTTTAGTCTTGACACAATTAGTGTGTCTCATCATCTACTGCATAAGTGTGTACAAGGTTGTTGAGTGGGGGTTCGCTTTCTTTCTTTGTCTTACCTGCATCCAAATGAATTGTGGCGTTCTCACCAAAACTTCAAATCAGTATCCACTGCCTCGAATATAAGATTTTTATCCACTTGACTAGTGATTCATGTCGGTCACTTTTTGTCTAACGTGTATTAAATGTTATTTATTAGCACTCGTACTTTCCTGCTAATTGTTATTTTGGACGGAATTGGTTGGTACAGGTAAGACTAAACGCGCGTCGCAAATTTCACTGCTAGCCACCAACCATCAAATGATGTCATAATCAATATTCAGGGAGTATCAAGATGTTAGCATAGGAGGTCATATAGCAACAAAAGTTGGTCAATTTAGTTTGAAATAACAAGCAACAGGAAAGCATAAGCAACAATAGTAAATTTAGAGGACGTTTATTCTAGACATTTCCTGAGGTCTATTTACATGTGTGCCTACAAGTTGCTTACTTTATACACTATAATTTCTATACTGCAAATTCTTGAAATAACGGATGATTGTTGAAACAAAATCAATAATAATAATTTTACGGTATTACACTAGATAAAAGAAAGATTCTTGGTATACATTTTTTTTTCTTTTCACAACTTTTTCACAAGTTGTGTGCTGACAGTGATTATATGTATCCGTTTAATTGCTGTCATTTGTTAAACAAAGACATGACAAACCGTATGATAAGTCACTAAACTGTTCATTTTCTTCAAATAATTTCTTTCATAATTATGCAATAGAGAACATGCAGAGAGCACTTTTGTCATTTTTCAGCCAATCATTAAAGCTCTTTTCAACATCACATTCATCGTGGGCTTATGCACATACAATGACTCACATCCAATTACAAAACACCTTGCGCAATGCAACATTCATGTATGCTTACTTGTGACAGAGTAACAATAAACAGAGAACAGATGCATATGAAAACATCAATATTGTTAGAATGTGCAGTCAACTTACTCTATTCGTTTTCGAAGGCGAACAATAAAGTTGGTCAGTTTCTCTATTTTATATTTGAGTGATTCAACTGCAATATCTGGATAATTCTAAAAAACATGAAAAATAAATAGTTTATGTAACTTCATATATCATCACACTGTGCATATAAAACATGTATTTTTTTCACCAAAAGAAGTTTAAGTGGATTAGTAAATATCGTAATACGCTGACATATTAGGATTTGCATTGAAATAGTATTTTCGAGAAATTCCGTCACTCGGCAAAATGTTCGATAAAATATGTTGTTTCCTGTATGGAACAGAGAATGAATAAAAACACTCTAAGGATTGCTTGTTATACATTGCAAAATATTGAACTTTAGGGTGCATTCATGTAAAGTAATTGACAACAGTCAATCAAATTGGATGATAAGAGCTTCATGTATGGCAATGGAGAAAGTAGTTTCGTTCATAAAAGTCGATTTAAAATTTGGAACTCACTATTGCCAATCTGGAAAATAATATTAGTTATATACGTGAATCTCCTCCTCTGTATCGTACTATCTATCAAGAAGACAACTACTCAAGGGTCCTCTGTTTTCCATAGTTTCCGTAACTAGTTTTCTTTATTGATCGAATATCTAGCTGGTGTTAACACGTTATTATTTTCACATTGTGCTAGGCATCCAGCTAGCACAAAAATATCTTACTAGGCAGATTTATTCGATTGTATGACTAAACTGAAGCAGTGTTAAATCAACAGAATCTTTTCACAGTGAATAAGTATAGAGTAGTGACTATTTATTCATTCTTCTTTTACTGTTAGATTACTTTTGGTGAATAAAAATTCTATACTGGTGTTTGAAAGACAGAAAGCAGGTTACAATTAGTAGTAGTTGATAAAATTACAAATCGAAACAGTTATGAGTCAGCACTTACAAAATTATGGTTTGACCTTTTGTCATAAACCTCACCAGACCACGCAAACTTATATTACGTATGCGTCTAAGAGGGATTTCACTGCCTAAGGTGTTCGAATATAATAATTACAGCAAGCTGAAGAGACTCGATTTATGAACAGTAAATTAACTATCACGTCATTTTGAAAGGCATATTTTTATCAGGCAGTGACCAGTGTTATTTGAAACTTTTTATGTGATCTTTTTGTTACTCTTAGACAATATTGACCAACCGTTTCACCAATAGTGTGTCTTAAAACGCATGTTGTGGAAACCTCAATCTTATTACAGAGTCCGAATAAACGGATAATAAACACAAAAATTAGCCAATATCATATCAACTGCATCTGCAAAGTGACTAGAATTTGGTGTTAGGTCGATGGAGGATATCGGCAGGAAACCCTAGATTTAGATTTAATGCAAATTGGCAATTATGAGTAAAGAGTGTCTGCAGCCTTGAGGGGATTGAAACCCACTCACGGATCGAAACCAGTGTCACTGAGTGTTGAATTTAAAGGCTGTCCAGTCTTGACCAGGTTATCCCTGGCTGAAGTCCCTACAGTCCGTAGCAGCACAGAAAGATAAATTCAACCGACAGTGTAAAACTAAAGATGATGAAACTGAAGGGAATAAATGTAGCTTAGGAAGTCGATAACGCAGACTACGATTGCGAGGGAGAGAACGAATTAAAGCCATGATAAATAGATTTCCACCTCAATTGTGACTACCTTGCACAATACACTTAGCTAACAGAGCTCAGTCCGTAAGCAGGTAAATTTACAAATAACTGACGTATCTCAGTCTTGAATTCCTTAGTACTCTGATCAAACACTAATTCACTCACTATTGCCCATTGGAATATTAAGTGGCTCATCACATACATATTTGTTATAGACCCCTCGGTACTGTTTGTTTTCCTGTCTGTCGGCTGAATATATGGAGATCATGATATGCGTTTATATGTATTTATGGGTATTACGCAGGTACATGTAAGCGTGTGTCATACGTGTGTAATGTATGCGTCTATATATGAATATATATATATATATATATATTTGTGCATTGTTGTAGTCTTCTACATTTACGTGTACGGCATACCTGCCAAACATCTATTCCTTCTAGTCTTCTAATCAAATCTCAGTTCACTCATTATTGCACAATGGAATAGTAGGTGGCTCACCACTTACTATATTGGCTACTCATATCTCGGAACTGTTTGTTTGCAGATCCATAGGCTGAACTAACTTTCTTACCTGCAATTCACCACTGATCACAGATGAACAGTGACAAAGAACTAATAATAAGTAAAACGAATCACCTTATCATCCATCTGAACACCTTGTCGTAATCATTTTGTACACAGTAAACTGTTAGTAGAAGCTTTAAAATGAGTAGTTAAAAGATCAAAAGCATTTTAAACCACAGTTATAATACAGTTGCATTTCAGATTGAATTCTCCGGACTACTACCAGACAAATGAAAGCATGTTTATGTTTTTCGACTTCGATCGGGTTGAAAATAATGATTAAAAAAAACATAAGCAGCCTTCATTTCTGGAAAATACTTTTGGAAATACTTCCTAACAGAAACAATATAATTGGCTACGCATTCTGAGACAAACACCTTTTAGACAACATTTTAACCATATGCTCATTGACAATCTATCATGTATTTGTGTAAAATTGTACGTCTTTAGTAAGTCGAGAGAAATACATTATCTAAATTCTGAGATATTCAAAAAAATTATTTGTCAAGGAACCCTAATCTGTGATGTTAATGAAATAGCCTGTTTCATGATTGGTTAGAGCTACTAAATCAATATAGCCAAAAAAAATTCAGAATAAACGAAAACAAAAGTCATATCACCTTTAGTTTTAGGAAACACTTGCTATCCAACGATTGTAATCTGATTAGAAAGTGTCAGACTATGAGAGTCATTTTCCAAGCATGTATCTATCATCTAAGTGTACCCGACTGTCTTAGTTCATTTGATTATTATTACTTTCTCATAATTATGACCACTATCATTTTATTGATTGAAGCCACTCTCCACTTTTACATAATTTCATCTAAAAATAATGCGTTTGAAGAAATTCATGTTAGTTTGTCAGTATATAGCTACAACTATAGTAGTTTAGTTCAATGACTACATTATCTTAATCAAAAATTTCAACGTTGATATTCTCCAGGAAAAATCACGTGCACATCCATAGATTCATGTTGCAAGATGTTTATGTTCCACATAAATACTGATTTATTCGAGATTAATTATAAAAGAATAGAATCAGTGGCATAAATTAAATCCATCTGCTTACACATATACTGTAATTACGAGATTGTTCACGATACTAAAATGATTTATGAAGTCACTAAATAAAGGTGGTTACTTATCTAGATCAGGTGACGGGGTCGAAAACCGCTTGGTTTTCAGTTGATAAAAAGTTGATTGATGGTAGACTCCTAAGATGATACTATTTAAAAGTTTTCTACAAATAAAATGAAAATCTGTGATTTGAAGATAAGCTATGTGTTTCAACAGAATAGCCGGTTAGATGATACTGATATGCTCATAAAGTTGTTGTAATGTAACTCAAATGAAGCTAGGAATACGAAACGTGAAAATGCATTCTGGTACTTCAACCTCAAAATCCAAAGTTAAACAAATGTTAACTAGTGCTATATTAAAGGACCTAAGAGCAAGCCTAATCACAAACCAAGCATCATCAGAACTTCAGGATTTTTGATATTCTATTTGAAGCTTCTTTGCACATGTCACTGAACTGATGCTATTAGTTTCACTTATTTAAAACAGTTTTATTCAATGCTTCCTTATCGTCTGCCAACATCAGCACGGGTCCTTGTAATCCTACATAACGGTTCAAGTTATCAGACCCAAAATAAATCAAATCAAAATACAGAGCTTTTTAACAAACAATCAATTACCGAAGCTCCTTAGGATGGAAGCTGTAACAAAATCAGAACTGAAGAATCAGTAAATTTCTTTGAAATTTCATAATACATTTATTTGTGGGAAGCTGTCAACTTCCAGCGGCAGCAGCTATATATTTCGTCATGAAGTCAGATTAGCTGTCTTAAAACTACTGATGTACGATTTCCTTTTTGTCTAATTTTTTCCGTCTGTTACTTAAATACAAGTATGCTTGAGTGCAAGAGTTTAAATGCATTTCAGATATTTCCGTCAAAGTGCGAATATGCAGGTTAAAGTAGACTTAAAACTGACTATCATTTTTGTGATAATGTTTGTCTCATAACACCGTAATTCACTTAAACTCATATCAGCTATTCAAGTTTCTAAAGAAGTGCAGAAAACAAGTGAGTATAATTAAGATAGATCACAGTAAAATTTAGAAATGATAAATGTATAATTTATATGGTCAAAAATTAATGACAACATGGTTAGTGAGAAAACGGTACCCACGTAAGCAACCGCATCAAATTTACGTCCTCGTCTGATCAAAAGAATAAGTATTAAGACATTACTTAACTAAATCAGTGGCTGAACCAAGCTTTGTAACCAACAAAGGAAAAAGTTTAAGCTCCAGAAAAAAGATTCATGAAAATAATCATGTAAAATCGATGTTGTATTAGAGGCTGACAACGTAGACTGACATTTTAATAAAAACTTTAACATAGGAAATCATTTAGTAAACACTGGTGTGAGTGGAAAATAAATACTGAATTGAAATACATGGGAAGTTATTTTACTTACCATTTCACCTTTATTGGTTTCTTGAGTAAATATTTTATTGGTTATTCCAGTGGAGTTGAATTTTAGTGTATTCAACGAGCAAGGAGAACTAGATTCGTCAGCGCAAGATTGAGTTGCATTCTGAACCGTGATATTACCATTACGAAAATGTCGATCTGTGGGTAGACGTGCAGTGACAACCGATGGGAATGATCTTTGTCCAGTTTTCTGATGTAGTAATCATTTTTTTATAAAGCAGTAAAGAAAAAATAGTGTTTAGCAAAATGAGGTAGGATCATTAAGGTTTGTAAAACCAGATAAATGAAAAAGCGTTTAAATATATATGGAAATTAAAAGTAGTTTGCACCGAGGTTAAACGTCGCATTCGCTTGACCTTTGTCCTTGTTTTTGAATGGGTTTGTAGGAAGATGTCATGAATGCAGACCACAGGAAAACATCAGCTAACGAAAGTAGCATATTTGACTTCATCATAAGCGAGAACTTGATAAAAACAATTCGTAAGTGTGTACACAATACTTTGAAAAGCAATTAGGCGTCAAAAACATAAAACCTACAGTTAGCGATTGTTTTCTAATATCTTCGACACTATGTTATAGCTCGCTTATTAAATAACAACGGACAGATAAAGCGATAGGCTACTTGTAGGTTTATTTTAAACAAAACTTGTTTACTCGACTGTTTAAAAAGTTGTAAAACGATGCGCTTATATTCTTTGTCACTATTTACAAGACTTTTAGATGTGGAATAAACGTAATGCATTAGAAAATGCTGGAACAGAATAAAGTAAGATCAATTCACTAATCTCTATGTTTACCTCAACTCTTACAGTATATACTTTTTTCGATGACGTTTTGATAATTTTTTATAATCGTAGTTTGTATCTAGCTTCCTTTTACAAAATGCTTTGTCACTAAAAATAGGGATCATTAAAGTAAATGGATGATATGAGGGAATGGTAGTTGTCTAGAATCTGTGTAAACCTTTTACGTAGAACTTCTGCAGGGAGTAAAGTATTTTAGCAAATAGTACAAGATGGGAAAGCTTTTCACCCCAGATGCTGTGAAAATCATGTTAAGTAGAACAAATGTCCAACTTCTTCAGTTGATCAAGCGAAGCATGCTTGATTAAGTCATGTGTGGAAAGTGTTGTTTAAAAAATGCAGCCTTACATATCTATTCGTAGGGTAGGTTGGATATAATTTAAAGTTAGCTAAACAAGGATACACGCCAGATCTTTCTTTATTACTGTAGGTTGGTAGGCGACGTGGAAGCATAAAACAGTTAACCTACTTATAAACAACAAAGGAAGTACATCTCAAGAGGCGTCTGGAAGATAGATGAAGGGAAATTAGGATGCGTCGATTTGGTGAAGTTATTTGTGTGCTTTTCGTGGTACATATAAAGGTTAAAAATGTGAATAGCTATAGTTCAGCAGGTTTTTTTAGAAGTGTAGTAGTAAGAAGGACTTAGACTATAAGCATTGGTTTTAATACCACAACTTCTGTAGCAAAGTAGAAATTGAAAAACACTTATTGCCGTGAAACAAACTCATTTACGAACTAGTAAGCACAATAATATTTTCAAATCACCAACTAAAGTTGCAGTGAACAAATTTTGTAAAGGTTCAAGCAAGATAAGAATAGGTAATTTCTCAGACTAAAGTGAGGTTATCCTGTTTAGTGGGTTTACATAAGATGTGTTTAGCTTAAAGTTACAATGAACATTACAACTGATCAATCAACAAAATGCATCTAAATGTTGAAGTTAAAAGCAGAGTATACAAAGCACAGAAAACAGATGAGTTGAGAGGATGCACAGTACAGGAGATTTGCAAACCATAGTCAGAGTTAGTTTACATTTCTTCCCGGCAGGAAAGAAAATTCTAAAGATACGAAAGGAAAAGATATTGAGTAGCAAGTAGTGATAACACTTTTTAATATTGATCAGATTAAAATCATGTGATGAGTTGAAAATAAGAATAAAAGACAAAATTCAGAATACCTATTTTGATATCTACAATAGAGAGGGGCTGATCGTATTCGTCTTTTGTATACAAAGGTGAAGTAAAAATACTTGGGTTTTTCAAAGAAAAATGGATTCGATTTCAACTGCATTTTGATTGTTCTTAAGCCTTTGCGGTTTCAACTTCATGCCTTGTATCCAAAAGATATTTGGTTATTTCATTCAGTGAGATTTCGCATGCTTTCACTAGTGAATGCCTAAGAATGTGTTGAGAAAACTGTATAACAGGTCTTCTTTTGCTCTTCTCGGTCTACTTCCTTCCACAAATACACGTATATCTGTAAAATCAGTTGGAAATGATGTTAACAAGACAAAAATCTTTCATGTACATGGTTTTCTGCAGTTATGTTTAAGCATCCGTGTGCTCATCACTTCAATTTGTATTCGATGATATAATTACTGATTATGTCAAGAATATCTTGATGAAATTAGAAATAACAAGACATGAAGGTCAGTGACATTTTTGTAATTCGTCAAAATATGACACTTATCTGCAGCCGTTCCACAGGTTCGACAGTGCAAATCAAAATCTGGCACATTTGTAGCTATCTGTCTCCCGTAATAAATTCTTATGATACTATGAACAGCTCTATAGAACAGCTTATATTAAATTAATCCTGGACAGAATGAGGATCTAAGTGTTGTATATCCAGCGCAGTCATATATTTGAAATTGTTTCCAAAGACTGTACATCAGTTAATCTTGAATTAGGAGAAAATCGTGCGTAAAACATGTCTGATAACTTCGCCTGATTAACTAGTTCACTAGTTACTAGCTGGTCCTAAGCATGCATAAAGAGGGAAGGTTGGGCATAGGGCTAGCAACCCTGCACCAGAAAACCAATTCACCTGCCACAGAAACTTCATAGCACAAACAAAATATAAAAAATTAACACAAAATTATTCCCCACTAAAATCGGAGAGGCGAAATGACGCCAGTTGGTGGAAGCCTTCGGGAAGCCAATCGGCCGGGTCGATGTGTCTTCCATCGATGAAAACGAAAGTAAACATGGGAACAAGGAATGTCCGCACCATGTTTGAACCTAGTTAGCAAGGCTGCACAGATTGCAAAGGAGATGAGAAGGTATCGCATTGAAGTGTTAGGAATTTGCGAAAGCAGATGGAATGGAAGTGGACTCTCCAAACTGTCAACTGGAGAATCAATAATCTACTCCGATATTGTCACCCAGACGACAACCACGAGCACAGCACACTGAGTTATGGAGTGGCTACCATGATGTCCCCATCAGCATCGAAGGCTCTCTCTCATGCAGTGGGAACCAATCTCCTCCAGAATCATGACAGCAAGGTTCAACTCAAAAGGAAGGAAGGAAGGTCACAATCATACAATGCTGCACTACGCATCTACAAATAATGCAGAGCAAGAGAAAAAGGAGGAATTCTACAGACAACTGCAATCAACACTGGACAAGAACTCAGTTGGCGACATCAAAATTCTAATGGGTGATATGAATGCCAAACTGGGAGCAGAAAACACAGGAAGGGAACTAACCATGGGTCGAGAAGCGCTCGGTGAGGTGATGAACGAGAATGGAGAATTGTTTGCAGAATTGTGTGCATTCAACGATTTGGTGATTAGAGGCCAGGCAGTGTGTTCAAGCACAAGGATATCCACAAAGCGACATGGATTTCACCAGACAACAGGACACACTAAAAATCAGATCGACTTTATCTCAATGTGAAGAAAGTGGAGACGCAGCTTACTTGACACAAGGTCAAGCAGGGGAGCAGATGTAGGTTCAGACCACTATCTAGTGCAAGGAACCTTCCAAATCAAGTTGAAAGCCCTTGGGGAAGCTGGTGATAGACCAAAGTTCAAGTACAACACTCGAGAACTGGAGGACGAGACTACAAAGGAAATCTTCACGTCGGTCAGCCATCAAGACAAAATGGGAGACATCGAGCAACATCCCTGAAGAAACCTGTGTGGATGAACACTGGAACTCTTTGATAGCTATATGGGAAGAAACCTGCATAACCGTGTTAGGAAGGAAGAAGAAAGGAGATAAGGAATGGATCTCGATGGACACACGGAAGCTGATGGAGCAAGGAGAGGAGGATGGTGAAGCAGAAGATGAACCAGTGCAAGGAAGAACGACGAGAAGAGGAACAGAGTACAACGTATAAAACACTGGACAAAGGAGTGAGAAAGAGTGCGCGGAAGGATAAAAGACACTTCTTCGGAACACTGGTAAGTGAAGCAGAACAGGCTGCAGGTAGAAGAGACAGAGACCTGACAACATTGCACTAAATAACCAGGTTACTATCTGTGAAGAGATCAACACAAATGAAACCAATAAAAGATGATGAAGGGAATCTGATTACCAAAGAAGAGTAACAAAGGAAACGATGAGCCGACCACTCCAAGAAGCTCTTGAATCGACCACCCTCATCACCTGCACTTCGTCCAGAAATACCACCTACAGCCGCTGAACTACAAGTGAGCATAAATCCTCCAACAAAGGTCAAAGTCCTGAACGCCATAAAGCTACTGAAATGCGGGAAAGCAGAATGACAAGATGGAATCGCGCCAGAAGCACTGAGAGCAGACACAGAGACAACAGAGGACATGCTCACACCACTATTGCAGAAAGTCTGAAAGGAAGGGTAGGTACCCGTCTATCGATTGGAAGAAGGGCTACCTTGCCAAACTCCCGAAGAAGGACAACCTAAGTCTTTGCAAGAACTGGCGCGGAATCACGCTCCTGTCCACCCACAGCAAGCAAAATATTGAGCCGCATCATCCTGGAGAGACTGAAGGATACACTGGACTCAAAACTACGACCGGAACAGGCTGATTGACTGGATTCAGGAAGTACAAATCGTGTGCAGACCGAATTGCAACGCCACACTTCGCATCATCATAGAACAGAGTATAGAATGGCAGTCAACTCAACTCTACCTCAACTTTATCGACTTTGAAAAGGCCTTTGACAGCGTCAACCGAGAAGTAATTTGGTAGTTGCTTCAACATCACGGAATACCACAAACCTTTATCAATCTCATTCAACAACTATATGAAAACGCCTCATGCCAGCCAAGTAATTCACAATGGGAAGGTCAGTTATGCTTTTGAAGTGAAGGCAGGAGTAAACCAAGGCTACCTACTATCACCCATGATATTCCTGATTGCGGTCGACTGGATCATGCTACAAACAGTGAGGAGCGAGAAGAGGGAGGATACACTGGACCGGGGAAAAGAATCTAGAAGACTTGGATTTCGCCGCCGATGACTTGTGTCTGATGTCACACAAACTTGGAGATCTACAGACGAAAACTAACAAGTTGGCAGAAGAGGCAGGGCAGGGCAGGGCAGCGAAGACGGGTCTTCAAGTGAAAGTAGAGAAGACAGAGGTGATGAAGATACCCAACCAACAACATCAACAAACTCCAATCACCATCAACGGGAGAAACTTAAAGGAAGTAGCCTCCTTCACCTATCTAGGCAGCACTGTTTCAACTGCAGGCGGCACAGACGAGGACGTCAAAGCCAGCCAGGATCGGAAAAGCAAGACAGGTGTTCGTTCGCCTTAAACCAGTGTGGAGATCCTCTGCACTGCACTCAGCAAGTGGAACAAGACCCGAATTTTCAACACAAACGTCAAGTCAGTGCTTCTGTTTGATGGTTGAGAGACTTGGCGGGTTACGAAAGGGATTTCCAACAAACTACAGACATTCATCGACAACTGCATATGCTGGCTCGTTACTGAAGCTCAGATGGCCAGAATAATGAGAATGAGCAACAAGGAACTCTGGCTGGCTGGTAACGAACCAACCAAGAACCTATCGCTGAACAAGTGTGCAGAAGGAAGTGGAGATGGATTGGGCATGCACTGAGAAGACCGACTGGGGACATCACGCGCCAGGCCTTCGAGTGGAACCGAGATGGGAAGCGACGAGTTTGGCGTCTGAGGTAATCAGTGAATAATTATCCGTTGTTTGTAAATTCAGAATGTTAGCCCCATCAGGCCATTTCTGAACTGAATAACATAAGCATAGTTAGCATCTGTAAACATTCTCCAGACATATTTTATACGTAGGTGAAGAAAGGATTATTTGTGTTTTTGCCGACAGAAATGTCATTATAGGTAGTAGAGAGAATCCAAAGAAGTGTTAACACGATAAACAGTCTGGATAAAATTATGGGAACCAATTAGGAATATTTTCTGCCTTTGCCCTACAAATCAGTTTGCTGGTTGTAAACTAAAATTTTTAAGAAAATTGAAAGATTCTGTTATGCCACAAAGAGTCTTGATTCTCTTCCTTTCATAGTCAGACTAAAATAGGTAAACAAATCTTCAATGCTGTTCTTTCTCTCAGTACATCTTAATTAATTAACAGCGGGAGTGTGCAAATCTAACTATTCTTGCTTTCTTCGGATTAATTATAAAATAAACTGATGTTTGTGTTTATTTTACAGTAAACGCGACAAACATAATTTGTAGTATGTACATGACGTACACAAAATTTTGTATACATCGAAAACAACTAACAGTTGAGAAGCGAGAACAATCGATTATAACAAGCGTGATTAATTCAATTTATTTCAGTACATGATTGTCAGTTACGGACAAGTTGATGTGATTAAACACTTAAAAATTAACAAAAATGAACATACTCAAGGAGCTAAAAAAGTGAAATGTCCAGTTCAGCAAAAGTAGTTAATAACTAATTGCATATCAATTCTGAGTTTGTTTACGAATTTAAATGTAAATGCAAACTCAAGCAAACTGAAAAGATGAAGAAATAGGTCTGCAGTTGCTTTATTGAAAACTAGGCAAAGAATTGCAAACATCACCATAACTTCTACAGTGAACAATCTGCCTGACATGAGGATGCTGAAAGCATTTCATCTACAGACAGTCCACTTCTGCTATATTTTAATCCTTAAAGACAGTAACAGCCAGAAAGTTGAAACCTGTTACTTGAAGTCAGAAATAGTCAGTATGCGATTGTCGCCTAATCTGGTGGCATTACATCAACAAACTCTTTTCATCAACTAAAATAAATAAATGTCGGCTTCAGTGATCCATACACTTATTTAAAAACCTTCATAAAAAATCCCTTCACCTATTCTGTTTTTCATCATAAAGTTTCAAACTACAGCTGCGGTCTACCTTGCACACCAAAATAAAGGAACTGCATTAGTCTCTGTCTCTATTTCAATGGAGATGTTTTGCATTATTGACTTGTATGTAGCTGGCTGGAATACAACAAAGTGTGATTGCTTAACTGTATTATTTAGACCTTATTTCCTTTACTTTACTTAAGCTTGTGAAAGGACCCAGTTTTAAAATGGTATTGTACACGACAACTAATTCTTTAGTTTGCACCTGTTTTAAGTATTATAAACCATAAGCATCTTATGAAGGGATAAATAATAAGCTTGGCCATGAGACTAGTTTTAATAAACGTACTGCACTTGCGAGACCAATCTCATAGACTAGTGTTTAGTCATAATCTGGCTGTCAAACTGTCAGTGAGTAGTGAAAGTGGTGTAAGGGTAGCTGACACTTCCCAACCGCTTAGACTTTCAAAGGCTAGTTCTTCTCGAGGTACAGGAAAATAAAGGGTTAGTACGTAACTACAGAGCTAGAGGGACATCTATTCGAAGCCGATCACACACGGCCTTTTCGCAAGTTTGAGATTTTGACATTTTGATTTTGAATCTGACTACGAACCCGTTCTCGGCATCGGCGTGCAGCGGAGAAATGGAATTGTGATGCTCTTGAGGTCAAAATTTTCCAAAACTTGCTTCCCATCGGGAAGGCAGCATTAGCCTGGTCTTACTGGTCATCTAGGAGGAAACACCTCACTGTTGCCACACTCCCATCCAGCTAGTATTACGACTTCGCCCTCAAACTGCCATCAAAGCGTAGCAGCTTACGCTTTAAAAGTAACCGCTTTTCGTGAAAACACTATTCGACAGACATTTCTGGTATAGTTGGACCCCGAGGAAACATGCTTTTCACCAGCATACCTCGTTGGGTCATTGTGATTTGCAAGACAAGCCATTACGTGAAGATAGTATGTATCGACAGAGATTAGTTTTGAAATGGTTTTGGAATCAGTTGAGTAAGGAGGCATTCAAGTGATGAAATTTATAAGCTATGTCGCTAATCCAACAGACAAAGTCAAAACAGATACAATGGTTCAATGAACTTACATTTTCATTTATGTTCAGAAATACACTGTGATCTTTGTGGTGCATGGGATCGTCGGGAATAGAATTATTTTTATTCGTTTGCCTTGTCTTCACGCGTGATTCACATGTGCTGGACTTTCTGACGGAAGCAGTCATATGTTTAGACTCAGTTTCTCTGACATCTTGATTCTGTTGGTTTACCAGTCCTCGACGACACGAACCAACTATAGATTTGTTGGTTTTTTTACTGTATACAGATAACATATCTTGTGGACCGTTCATCATTTTTATTTGTTTGACAACTTCCATTGCTGCTATGCAATCAGCTGTATCTACTGGTGCAGTTCGGCGCGTAATAACAGTTAGTTTATGTGTTGGATGGATAGACCGGCTAGTTACACAGCTTTTAGAATTGCTGTCCGTGGATATACTCATTATATTGTCATCTTTTGGTGGACGACTCTGTGAACGAGCTGTGAACAAAGAAGAAGAGCAAAGTAATCATCACTGGTTTATTCACTCTAAAGTTCGTTCATTATTTACGCAAAGCGCTACCGTCTTAAGAACTGTAGAATTATTGCACTTTTTTAATGGCTTTCAAACACAGAAGGTAGGAAAAATACTTTTCATAAGTAATGCATTTCTGTTTTAAATGACTGCCAACTATTTATATGCAAAGCTGAATTTCTTTATACTAGTGAGGAATATTTCAGAAACAAAGGCAGTTTTACTTTTTTCTGTCTGAAAAGAGTGAATTTATACACAATGATGTCCGAATTTTTTAGGATTTGCCTAAAAATTTGTTCTATACTAAATATATTTTGTTCATACACTTTTTTGAATGGTACTTTTGTATTTTCACAGACGATGAAATGTAAATTCTATGCGTAAATTCCATTTACATGGGAAAAAGAAATGAGTTCAAGTTGTACGCATGCATATGCATGCAGTGAATAAACAACCATGCATATTATCAATAAAGTGGACTATAAACAAGTGATTTTTTAATGTTTGAAAGACAAAATATTGTAGCATGGATTATATCATATTATTAAATCCACTCTAAATCAGATCTAGTGGTTTACCACCAACATATTCAAAATAAATTCGACAACTACTTGTATACCACAGACTTTAAGAAAGACGAGAATAATTTGCTAACATCATCGAATATTAAAGGTCAAACATTATCAAATTAAAGTTTAAGAGACCAGTATATTCTTTTGTTAATAAGCAGTCAGAGTAAAACCAAGTATGAGGTAGCAGAGATTTGTAGCTCAGGATGAGAATGATAATTATTCGCTAATCTTTAAACTTTATATAAGTGAAGTGAAGGCTGATGAAGTTATCTGGTGATAAAACATTCAAGAACAAACCTCAGAGAACAACAAACAGTAATAAAACTAAGTTTACTTATCGGTCTATCCATCCACTCTCAACTGACAAAATATTTCTGGAGTTAGTCATTCTCACTAAAGTGAAGACATTTTTGCACAGTGTTCTAAAACCACTTCTGAATAGTTTGTGTAACAGATCCTCATATCTTAGTAAAGATTTTACAATGTCTATGAAGAACAAAAACTCATCAATCTAATGATTAAGTGGCCACTTTTCAAACGAGACAACTATTTTAGATATGTATATGAAAAATGACTCCCAAGATTGCTCATATAATAATATATATCCTAATCAGCCCCAAATATGCAGCCCATTCGATTTCCTTGGAACAGACAAGAAAAGGTGTTTAAGAAAAAAGTGACATGTTTAACAATGAAATAGTTGTGATGCGCACATATTTATCTCAATAAAGATGAATCAGTCATAGAGTATCTTAGCTAAAAATGCTCCAGTTGAAATTATCACACTTTAAAGCAGCATGTAAAGAACAAGTGAGTGGAAATAAAATGTCGTGAAATCAGAAAAAAGTGCATGGGAGGGCAGAAAAAACAAAGAAGATTGGTGGAAACATTGGAACTTAGAGAGATAACAGAGAATGAATGCATTTGCATGATTAAATCTGATTTCGGGCGCTGCTATAGAAAATCTGTCGTAAATTCCTGTCATCAGAACTCCAAACAGCAAACTCAAACTATTTTACACTGTCGAAACCAAAAGGAGACAATTTATGGACTGCTGTGTCCTAGTTCGGCCACTATCAGCTTCATTCTAAGCTCTTTCTGCTCGGCCTAGCTTGACATCACTGTTAGTGGGGGTCTGGAATTCACAACACAATACCGGTCAGCTTAAGTGGGTTAAAGTTAGTGATTCGTCTTCGTCGTCTATTACGTTTTACTCAAATCTTGATTAAACGCATACGAATTACTAAGACACCTATCATGAAAAAGTTCTAACCTCTCCATGTATTATGCTGTCATTGGTCATGCCTCATATATGTACAGTAAGGCATTACTCAATAATACATAGTATACTGGTTTTCTAAAAGGGAATAGTTAGTTATCTCAACAGCGCTAGAGATTGTGTGAACTGAGCGACGTTTTGCAGAAAGACGACCCTTTGGCTTCCAGATAAAGTTTCTAAACTGAGAAGTACTTCTGTATTCTTTTCAAGGTCACAAACCACGAAGTAAACAAAGTCGTACATTAAGCTATATATTTGGATCGAATACACGTGAAACTGTTAGCATATTCATTTTCGCCAAGCTGATGAAACAGAGTGTTCAAGTAATAGATTCCTTGTAAGGTGAAACCAGTGACAGCTGCGAAACATGATAAAAATAAGTTGCTGATAAGTAAAATGCTGAACAGACTCCAATAATGAAAAAGAGAAATTTGACTAAATATTTACAAGTGCGGTACCAGTAGGCATTTATTTGGGTAGCAAACGATTCCCAATACACATATGTAATAACAACGCCATCTAAAATGGTTCCTGGCAATGATTATTATTATTAAATTACTTGTCACTTGGGTTCCTAATGGAACATAGGGCTTCAGTAGCACGTTTCCAGTGAACTCTGCTCACTGAAATCTTTTGAACCTGCCTCCACAACAGCCCAGAAGCTCTCACTTCCTCCTCACACGATATCCTCCATGTCACCCTTGCCTCGGACGCCAAACTCGTCGCTTCCCAGCATTGAAGATTTGTTTACCTATTTTAGTCTGACTATGAAAGGAAGAGAATCAAGACTCTTTGTGGCATAACAGAATCTTTCAATTTTCTTAAAAATTTTAGTTTACAACCAGCAAACTGATTTGTAGGGCAAAGGCAGAAAATATTCCTAATTGGTTCCCATAATTTTATCCAGACTGTTTATCGTGTTAACACTTCTTTGGATTCTCTCTACTACCTATAATGACATTTCTGTCGGCAAAAACACAAATAATCCTTTCTTCACCTACGTATAAAATATGTCTGGAGAATGTTTACAGATGCTAACTATGCTTATGTTATTCAGTTCAGAAATGGCCTGATGGGGCTAACATTCTGAATTTACAAACAACGGATAATTATTCACTGATTACCTCAGACGCCAAACTCGTCGCTTCCCATCTCGGTTCCACTCGAAGGCCTGGCGCGTGATGTCCCCAGTCGGTCTTCTCAGTGCATGCCCAATCCATCTCCACTTCCTTCTGCACACTTGTTCAGCGATAGGTTCTTGGTTGGTTCGTTACCAGCCAGCCAGAGTTCCTTGTTGCTCATTCTCATTATTCTGGCCATCTGAGCTTCAGTAACGAGCCAGCATATGCAGTTGTCGATGAATGTCTGTAGTTTGTTGGAAATCCCTTTCGTAACCCGCCAAGTCTCTCAACCATCAAACAGAAGCACTGACTTGACGTTTGTGTTGAAAATTCGGGTCTTGTTCCACATGCTGAGTGCAGTGCAGAGGATCTCCACACTGGTTTAAGGCGAACGAACACCTGTCTTGCTTTTCCGATCCTGGCTGGCTTTGACGTCCTCGTCTGTGCCGCCTGCAGTTGAAACAGTGCTGCCTAGATAGGTGAAGGAGGCTACTTCCTTTAAGTTTCTCCCGTTGATGGTGATTGGAGTTTGTTGATGTTGTTGGTTGGGTATCTTCATCACCTCTGTCTTCTCTACTTTCACTTGAAGACCCGTCTTCGCTGCCCTGCCCTGCCCTGCCTCTTCTGCCAACTTGTTAGTTTTCGTCTGTAGATCTCCAAGTTTGTGTGACATCAGACACAAGTCATCGGCGGCGAAATCCAAGTCTTCTAGATTCTTTTCCCCGGTCCAGTGTATCCTCCCTCTTCTCGCTCCTCACTGTTTGTAGCATGATCCAGTCGACCGCAATCAGGAATATCATGGGTGATAGTAGGTAGCCTTGGTTTACTCCTGCCTTCACTTCAAAAGCATAACTGACCTTCCCATTGTGAATTACTTGGCTGGCATGAGGCGTTTTCATATAGTTGTTGAATGAGATTGATAAAGGTTTGTGGTATTCCGTGATGTTGAAGCAACTACCAAATTACTTCTCGGTTGACGCTGTCAAAGGCCTTTTCAAAGTCGATAAAGTTGAGGTAGAGTTGAGTTGACTGCCATTCTATACTCTGTTCTATGATGATGCGAAGTGTGGCGTTGCAATTCGGTCTGCACACGATTTGTACTTCCTGAATCCAGTCAATCAGCCTGTTCCGGTCGTAGTTTTGAGTCCAGTGTATCCTTCAGTCTCTCCAGGATGATGCGGCTCAATATTTTGCTTGCTGTGGGTGGACAGGAGCGTGATTCCGCGCCAGTTCTTGCAAAGACTTAGGTTGTCCTTCTTCGGGAGTTTGGCAAGGTAGCCCTTCTTCCAATCGATAGACGGGTACCTACCCTTCCTTTCAGACTTTCTGCAATAGTGGTGTGAGCATGTCCTCTGTTGTCTCTGTGTCTGCTCTCAGTGCTTCTGGCGCGATTCCATCTTGTCATTCTGCTTTCCCGCATTTCAGTAGCTTTATGGCGTTCAGGACTTTGACCTTTGTTGGAGGATTTATGCTCACTTGTAGTTCAGCGGCTGTAGGTGGTATTTCTGGACGAAGTGCAGGTGATGAGGGTGGTCGATTCAAGAGCTTCTTGGAGTGGTCGGCTCATCGTTTCCTTTGTTACTCTTCTTTGGTAATCAGATTCCCTTCATCATCTTTTATTGGTTTCATTTGTGTTGATCTCTTCACAGATAGTAACCTGGTTATTTAGTGCAATGTTGTCAGGTCTCTGTCTCTTCTACCTGCAGCCTGTTCTGCTTCACTTACCAGTGTTCCGAAGAAGTGTCTTTTATCCTTCCGCGCACTCTTTCTCACTCCTTTGTCCAGTGTTTTATACGTTGTACTCTGTTCCTCTTCTCGTCGTTCTTCCTTGCACTGGTTCATCTTCTGCTTCACCATCCTCCTCTCCTTGCTCCATCAGCTTCCGTGTGTCCATCGAGATCCATTCCTTATCTCCTTTCTTCTTCCTTCCTAACACGGTTATGCAGGTTTCTTCCCATATAGCTATCAAAGAGTTCCAGTGTTCATCCACACAG